TTTTCACACTGACAGCGGCGAGAGGGCACTGGTGTGACTAATACTACACAACATTTTTTGGCCGGTGCGATTGGCTGGTATATATTCATATATATATATATATATATATATATATTTATATATTGGATAATCCTTGTGCATTATTGCAATTTGAGCCATAACAAAGCCCTGCACCTCGAATTCCATGCAAATTCATAGTTATGTCACAATAAGGAGGTGGAAGAAAATATATTGCCCATATATTCTAGTGTACACATCGGGGACGAAGAGGCGCACACAAACAGATACACATGCAGACGCCCCCTCTCCATCTCTCGTCCCTGCGGTATTTACACCCTCTTAAAAACAATGTCGTGCAGCTTGACAGCTCTGACAGGAGTTATCATTACACAAAGAGCTCAATTCCATAATTTATAGAGAGCCCCCCCGTCCCAGTCATGTGGAACACTCCCAAAATAAATCTAAGTAAACACTTGCGCGACCAAGCGGCACTCACAGTGGCACTGGTATGCATAAACAGTACGAACAGTGTGACAGTGTAATCCCACCACAGCCAGACATACACACACACACAAACACACATGAACCAACACTGACTTTAAGGATTATCCCCAAAAAAAAAAAAAAAAAAAAATTCCACTTGTTCACACCATTTTCCAAATGTGCAACAAAACTACATCTGTTGTTTGTTTTGTTTTTTGTTTTTTTGTAGTTAGCCTGATCTTACGAAACAACAGATTTTGTAGGATCAGGTTAATGTTTTTACGTTGTCAAAGAAAATTATTTTTTTGCTGAAGCTCGATATGACGGTGGAAATTAGGTTGAGTTCACAATTAATGAATTAATTTGTTACATCTAATGAATTATTTATTTCTGCCAAAGATAAGACATCCAATCCCATTCAACAACAATGTTAAAATGTGAATATACTGTAGTAGTACTATGCCATTAGTCACAGCCGTCTGTTAGGGCAACTTTAAGCTACTTCTTATCTCTAACATCTTGGCTGTTACTGTAAACCAAAAAAAATCAAGGTTGAATGAACGATGACCTGCGACTATCCAATAGCAGCAAATGTTAAACGATACGTATTTATTTATCGAAATTTAATTGTTAAACTTTTCAAAGACACCTTATTTCAAACAACGGATATTGAATAAAGGAAAGATTATTGCAGAACACGATCGCCCTAACGTCCAGCCTTTAGGTACAATAGCACCATCAAGAGGCAAAACAAGGTGACGCAGGGCATTGTGGTCACCCTGGACACCCGTCGTATTTCTTTACGTATATCTTTCAAAAGACTGTATAAAAATGATTTCTTACAATCAAGTGACCGTGAAGGATGTTTAGAACTTTACCAAATTAAATATCAAGCTACTAGGAAAAAAGTTGGTTGGTGATTATTGGTCATCTGCGTGAATTCTATTTTTTTTCTATTCCAGTAACTAGGCACTTGAGTGTACTTTTGACTTCAATTGTCACATGACAGAAAAGAGTGTTGAATCATTTAAAATACGGCGTAACACTCTGGGTCTGTCTGTTATTGGTGACTGCAGTTTGTGCTTCATCCAGGATTATTGCCCATATTTTAAGTTGACAGTAGCGTATGCTTAACAATTAACACTTACCATATTTCCCAGAATTTAAGTCGCTCTGGAGTATAAGTCCCACCAGCCAAAGAAGAAAAAAAAAAAATACAGTAGGCTATATAAGTTGTCACACTAGTGCCCTCTAGTGGCTGTCACTGTGAAAATAACAAAAATGGAAATGTTCAGTGGTACAGGAGAAGCAGATACTGGTACGAAAGCCTAGAGTGCCCTCTTATGGCTGTCAGTGTGAAAATAACAAACATTTGAAGCCTGCTTCCCAACGTTACAAAACGTAACACCTTTATCCAAACACTCACCAAAGCTTCTACTACAACTACTACAGCAACAAAAACTGCCTTTGTAGTTGCTATATTCTTGTTACTTAAGGTGTATTTATCCAAGTCTCCAAGGATTTGAAAACTGGTTACCAGAATATATAAAACATTTTCTTCAGTCTCCAAGGATTTGAAAACTGGTTACGAGAATATGTATATAAAACATTTTCTTTATATCTTTGCAATGGTTTGTGATCCGTTAATGAAAAAAAAAAAAAAGACTGAAACTTTATTTCAATGCTTTTAATTACGAGTTGTTGTAACATTACTTTTTATATCTACAAAACAGCAGAGTACAATAATAGATTATGGCCTAAAAAAAGTCTACTTTACCTGGTCAAAAGTAAGGCCCTGTATTTCTATACAAAAGTGACTGTCATTTCTTACACAATGTTTAGCCATAAGAAAATAAATAATTACAAAAACTAACTAAAACATAGATAAACTAAAAAAAAAAAAAATCTGAAAAATATTTTCAAAGAAAAAAAAAATAACTAGAGTTTCCTAGAGCTTTCAGGTTTTACTGTATCTGGTCTGCAGCCCATAGCTGGAGGCAGGATGGTCTGCTGTTGTGACCCCTCAAGAGATCAGTTGAAATACGAAAATATCTTGTTGTCACCTCTAGAGTCTAGAGTCTTGTCAGTAGTTGCGAACGCTGAAGAATCCCATGCTGGTGGGAGACTCCTTCACTGTGACTGTGACCAGATTAGCCGTGACGTCTGTTACAAACACATGTTCTATTAGATCACGCGTTGGCTTCCAGTCCTGGGTCTGGTTCATCGAGCTATCCTTGCCACTGCAGGTAGAGTCCTGATCCGAGTCGGAGCTCGTTTCATCTTCCCCAGTGCTCATGTCGTTCATTTTTCTGCCAGTTTTGTAAGCAAATTTTTCTTGTTGGGGGAACGTATGCACGCTGCTCTTCTCTAGTCTGCCTTGGTTGTGAGTGGACCGGATTTCTGCTGCCTCCTTGGTTTTGTTTGCTTCAGAATAATTCTTTCCTGCCTCTAATCTACACGGACTTTCTGGACTTTTATTAGGGTTGCAGTCTTGGTTTTGTGGGGCATTAGCTTTTCTTGCTGGTTTTGGTGCAATTTTTGTTCCTGACAATAATGTAGCTTCATTTTCAGAAGTGGTGCTGTTCTGTGCTGGTTTGTTCTGAAGGTTAAGAGGCTGAAAGCCAGAACCCTGACTGGAGTTGTTGTTCTTGGATGGTCCAAAACCCACTGCTTTAGCATGGGGTATTCGCTGAAGACCTGACACAGAACCTTGGGGCTTTTTTTGTCCGTTGGGGGAACTGAGGCTATGCCGAACGTTCGCTTGACTAGGGTTTTTGCCAGTATTCAGGCTCAACGCTGCCACACCATTTGATTTTCCAGATGAGGTATTCAATTCCAGATGTTTTTCAGTGTCTTTACTGGACCCGGAGGTTTTCCCTTCAGTGACATCCCTGCTTTTGTTAGATTTGTAGAGGGACAAAGACGGACTTTGAGTGGATTTGCTAGATCCTACAGCGCTTTTCTGAGGGCCACCATGGCCAAGGGAACCCACGCCTTGACCAACTGTATCTCTACCTAAGCCTTGTTGAAAACCCATTAGGGTATAACTTGCAAGTTGAACAGGCTTTTTGATTGCTCCAGGATGATCTGTATCATTGGACATCTTTGGATTTTTTCGGAGACCCCTTTTATGCGGCAACTCATTCCCTTCAGGCGTCGCGGGCTTCTTACTCCGCTTATTCGGCGGTTCCTGTTTAGCCACAACTATCTCTGCTTTCTTCTGAGGGACAGGATGATTTTCCCGTGTCCTTACAATCTGATTTGCTTGCTCAACATCATTGTCATCATCGTCTTCTTCTGACGAGGATGAGGAGCAGGAGGATGAAGAATCAGAGGAGTCAGAAGATGAGCCAGATGAAGAGCTACTTGATTTTGGAGTTTCTGGGACTTGATTTTTCTATTAAAAAAAAAATACACGTTAGATAGTGGTACTCAGCCCCTGAAAAAAACACTAGCATCAAAGTCAACTTACTACAATTTTCCGTGGTCTTCCTCTGGGCCGTTTTCCTTTATTTCGCAAGAGAAGCTCCTTTTCATGCTCTCTGAAAGAAATAAAAACGTATTTAACATGTCAAACAACAATGTTGAACTCACATTTTTGTGTATGACATTAACATTCAATGGCAATCTCAATGACATTCAATATCCATATCCACATAATGTCAGGCAGCGCTAGATTCGAAAGATGGCTTCGTTTACATTGACGGGTTGTATGCCATACATTGGATTGTGCTAAATTCCCTTTGTTTTGCGTTGTTTTTTTTGTAAACCCGTTGCCTTTTAGTATGGCTCCCAAGCGTATGTCAGACTCTTCTGAGATCTTTATGTCCCAGATTATGATGTTACCACTGTTTTAGCTTTGATAAAAGACATACGGGCTTATGACCAAGGTCGACGTGCCTTCATGCAATACGGCGCCCGACCCCCGTATGCATACAAATTTTTTGTACCCCATCAATATCAAGACCAACAACAACCCTTAGAGGTAGCCTCAAACAGACATAGCAGTTGTGAGGCAACTGCTGCGTCTTATTCCAAGATTATAGTGCTCAGCTTAATTTTTAAAACACTTAAAGTTACTGATAAAAGTAGTAGTGGGCAAATAACTTCTGTGTCTTAATTTAAAAATAAAAAAATAGATGTTGATTTGAGACAATAGGCTTGTGATAATACTGTTCCCTTTTTTTTATTGAAAGGCTATCTGGCAATCACTTTGCAATAATAATAACAATAACAAAGAATAAATGGCCATACAAACTTTTTGTTAAATGCCGCCAACAGCCTTGGGTCAAGGATATTTTCTTGAGGCTCCCAACTGTTGTGTCTGAAAAAAACAAATATCAATAATTTAGTACTAAAGCAAATTGAAGAACAGGACTTCTGAGTTCATTGGAGACTAAAAATTAAACAAAATTGTACGCAAATGCCAAATGAATTGCGAGGGGCTGTAGAACAATAAACATTGTGGAGGACAACAAGTTCACTGAAATTTTGAAAGCTGCATCTCTCGAATGTGTTTTGAAACTCTTTGAAGCTAAATTTCGACTTTTCAATTGTGTATTATTCTTTCTGTTCCAACAATCTACAGAAAAGTTCTTTTTTTCCCCAAACATTTCGAAGCCAACATATTTATTTAATGCAAGCAAGCCAAAAAAAAATTTTCGGAAAAGAAAACCCCAATGTGTCTAAACGAAGATGAAATGCAATGTTAAATGAATTACCTCCCACTGATAAAGGCAGCAATATTTAAACACAGAGTTATCTCAGCACTGAGCAGACAGTCTCCAGTCTCTTTTAGTCTTTATCTTTAATTTCACATATTACCAGTCTGACCAAACTGCATCCACTTGCTGGAGAGATAACCAGACTGTTAAAAAGTCAGGATTGTTTTTAGTTTGGTCAGACATTTAGCTCGGCGTTTATTATTATTATTATTCCAAAGTCAAAATCAAGTACCAAAGAATAATAACCAAATAACACCGTCACTCATTATGATATTGAAGACTTTCTTATAGCGTCTTGAACTCAATCTCGTGGCTTATAGGGAACAAAAGAGACAAAAGACACATGTAATTAACTATGTAATTAACTGTCTGCAGTAAGCTGCAGTGAATACAAAAAAACTATCCTGTACATAGCTCTATATATGTTGTACATAATCGAGAAACAGACAAGAACTGGAGACAGAGTAGAGTTTTAATAGCCCCATTACAATAATAATAACACAACCAACAACAACACAAACACCAATAACTGCAGCAACAGCAGCAAAAATATGTAATCTAAAAAAAAAAATCATTTGTTTTCAATTACGTTTTCAATTACGACGTCAATAAAAAAACTTAACTTTAGTACCTAAAATTTCATGTGTTTATAAATAAAAGTTAAATACGCAGAAATGTTATTTATTTCCGTTTTGTTTTAGAAACAACGGCTTACAGCTCTACACACAGCAAAACAGTACCTCATGTTTTACCGTTTGATTTTCTTGATAGAAAAATCTAAAAAAATTGTAAAAATAAATGTATTTACACTATAAAATATCTCATGACATTATAATCTAAAATGTCCCAGTTGCTGGTTTAATTATATTGACTTCACATATTAAAATAAAATAGAAAATAAACTGTTAAACTATGAGAGTAATTAAGGGTTTGGAACGACTCGACGGAAGCTAACGCTATCGTAGCTTTGAGAGTATTTTCAATTTCCATTTGGATATTTTCGAGGTAAACCAGATAATTCAGTGTTTTTGATATGTATTTAAACAAAAGTTCCTTCAAAAAAGATTAAGTAACTTTACGCCATCACTAGAGTTTTTAATGTTTAAATTTTAAAAGTGTGATGTAGACAAAGCTTGTTTGGAAGCAACAAGCCTAGCTGCTGCTGCTGCTGCTGTTGTTTATTGTTTCGGGTCGGACTTACTTGGATGACCATCCTCTCCACTTCACGAGAAACTCTAACTTTCCCTTAAAAATGAAAACAGCTATGAGCAACAAATGAAAAGTTTGATAAACAAAAACAGCTTCGAAACTATTTTTTCGTTCTCTTACCTTTTTGAGTCGTTTGTTTAAAATGCATTCAGCATCAAAAACCTGTTCACCCACAGCGCTCAGCTCCTCCATTTCTGTCTACAACACGAAGAATATGATCCGTACGTGAAAAACGAGACGTTGCTGCAGCTAATCACAGTGACGCTAAGAGAACGACCGGAAGTGAAGAGTGTCGCCTTTAAAATAAAGCCGCCAAAGGTTGGTAGCGACACAACATAGGTTTTTATTTTTGGAAATTACAAGTACGTGTTGTGACGAAATATATTGGAAGTTATATTTAAAGTTGAAAAGTATACGGGTTAAATACCAATGCTTAAATATATAACATTAAAAGAAAATTTAAAACGAGTTTAATTTACAAGTTAAGTTCATAAATGTATCTACAAATATGTGAGCTGCGGTAGGCTTCTATTTACATCAATAATATGCCTCACAGGGAGTTAAGTCGTGTGGCTGACTTCTAGCGGAGGGCTTGTTTACAACCTACAACAATCGTCCTTTAAACAGTAGACCAAAAAAAAACCCCTACTAATGTTGTCTAAAGAAATTGAGTAAATTGAAATTGAGTAAAATTACCTATTGCTGAAGAGAGATCTAATGAAGAACAAAAATAAATTTAACTTTTATTTCTTATAATTTTCCTTTCGTGTCTATTGTAATAATACAACTCGGCTGTCACAACTTTGCTTTATTTTGAAAACCCAAATAAAAATATTGTGATGTGCCATCTTACTTGACAGCTGCAAAAGTAGTGAGGCGGGCAACAGGGTGCTCGTTTGTTATCGACTGCAAGCTACCTTTATCATCAGTAAAACTGATTTTTTTTTTTAATCAAATCAAATTATCCCGGTGTGACTACCTATTTAAATATATCCATCAAGAAGAAAAATCTGTTTGGGCTATAAATTCTATATTCATTTAGTTGTTTAAAAACAAAAACAAGAAAATTGACAGAATTTTAACAGATTTAAACAAAGACAAAGGGAGGTTGATCCATTTTTTATTTCAATTTTATTTTCTTAATTTAAATTTGCATTTTATTTGCAAACGGGTGCCTCACCAAGCAGTTGTTTATGTTTCATTTTGGTGTCTTTTCTCTGTGATCAAAATGAAGTTTGTTTTGTAAATTCTGTTTCTGGAATTTGTTTGGAATTTTCTGATCTGAAACAGAAGAAAAACAAAATTATTCACATTTGCAACACTGAAACAGAAGAAAAACAAAATTATTCGCATATTCACATTTGCAACAAAAATTGTAATATATATATATGTATTTATAATGATTGTAATTACATATACATATATATTTACGTTTTATCTTTTTTGCGTTTGTTCTTGATTACAGCATGTGAAGTCATCAACACAAACACCACAACCAAAAATCCTGCCACTGCAGCGACTCCAGTGAAGGTGTTTTGGAGCACATTCACCTGGATTCCTAAAAACAGAGAAAAAGTAAACATATTGCTATGGCTTGCGATGTTTGGCAAGTTGTATATCTGTAAATCGTGTTGTCATTTAAGAGGTCTTCAGGGTGTCAAGTTTTAACCCCTGCACATTTAAGTGATAAATCTAATGCTATTTAGATGCAGCAAGATCTGGTTACACTGGGAAGTGTACAGTATATATGTGGAATACACCAATTGTATGTCATGTAGCAGGAAGTGCCTTCATGACGCAATTATTTATCTATCTACATGTGATATTAGACATGAATAAAATCCAAATTGGCTGACATTAGAGCCTTCTAATGTATGTTTCAAGTGTCCCATGTGACTATTTTCTTTCTGTGTGGTCTGCGTATCCCACTTAAAAAGCTCATCCTAAGTCCAAGTTGTGTTTCAGCACTAGTTTGAAATAAAATCCAAATTGACTGATATTAGAGCCTTCTAATGTATGTTTCAAGTGTCCCATGTGACTATTTTTTTCTGTGCTTAAAAAGCTCATCCTAAGTCCAAGTTGTGTTTCAGTTAAGTTTTTAGCATTTCCAGTCATCAAACAAAAGTTCAAGTTGTGGCCCATGGGTCAGGTCTCTTAAAAAAACTGTCTAGTTTTAAAGTTGGGAACTAGGCTAAACTGTTTTTTTTTTTGTTTTGTTTTGTTTTTTTCAGATTATAAATTGTCAACAGGGGGGTCAATGACCAGTATTTTCAGAAGTCATTCAGGAGGGCAGAATCATTTTATAATAAGGAAAATTTATGTACAAAGACATGAAACAAAAATGAGCCTGTGAATTAATTTAAAAGATATGTCCTGAATTAAGAGTCATGTTCGTCTTACTATTTTTTAGAGTAGACACCATGAATGGCTCACATGATTTGTACCGTTCAAATTTATTTGTGGCTTACATGGACACTCTATTTCACAGAATTAATCTGAATCTGTGTCTGAATCTGTGTCTGATTTTTACTGAAGTTTCAACACCTACTCTTTGTTATTGTTTGACACTGGAGCTGTATGTCACCTGTCCAAGGTGAGGCCTTTATTTCTAGTATATCAGAGGCTGTCACAGCACTAGTTTGAACACTGATTTGACACAGTTCTTGCTGTACCTTGAGCAACCTTGATGGTTTAGGTTTGGGGTGAGAAATCCAAGAACTGTTGCTCGGGCTAGCGAGAGTTCCACCACTGAGCTACCACTGTCCTCATATACACAAGACACTTAGACACATTAGTAGTATTATTTGTTAACACACCTCGCTCAGTCGTGCTGGTGACCAACATGTGTTTGACGTTGTCCAGGTGGCCGTCATTGACCTCTGGCTTTATGCCAAGGATGTGACACATCAGAGAGTAGATGTTTACTGTCTCAAATGGTCCAACCTCCAGGTTTTTGTGAAAGGACGGACCTACTGCCCTGAAGAAAGGCTTCATGTCCATCTCTTGGTTGTCGAAGCCATGCTCACCGTTATGGAATTGGACGGGAAAATACTACAAGAAAGAAAAAAAAATGAAAAGGAAGTCATTCACATTAACATCTTTTAACATCTAACAACTTTTTTTTAACCAATTAAAAAAAAAAAATGAAAAGGAAGTCATTCACATTAACATCTTTTAACATCTAACAACTTTTTTTTAACCAATTAAATAAAATAAAAAATAAATAATGAACATGAGAACTTGATATGCCTTCCAGAATCACTTTTGTTATTATTTAATATTCCTATACTGTCTTCTGAACCTAGTGTTTCCCAACCCTTTTTTGAGCCAAGGCACATATTTTACATTACAAAAAAACCCTCACAGCACTCCACCATACCAAAATGTCTAAAAAGTGTATGTAATAAATTATAATAATACTCATAATTTACTCATTCCAGTGTGAAACATGGGCCTGTTGAACACAACGCTGATATACCCACAGGAATTGAATAAAGACACAGGTCCAAGTCTCTCTTTTCTTCTACTGCCATCTGCTGCCACCTAGTGGAAGATATTTAATTGTTCTGCCTGGAACTTTTGCACAGACTAACAAAGACAAATTACTTGCAAAAAATAAATAAAAAAAGGTTTTCGGACATTTGGTTGTGTGCAGTGGTGTGCTGTGTCACAATGACAAGTAGTTCACTTACCTTTCCTAACCAACCAACTTTAACTAGTAACATTTCATTTCTTTTCTTTCTTTAGTTCATTTAACTTTTTTAAGTGTAACCTTTTGGTTTTAATAATTGTTGGGCCAATTTGGTGCTGAGTTTCCTTTTGATGTATTTTCATGTATTTCTTGGCTAATATTAAGCAAATTGAAAAAAAAAAGCTATTCATAGGTCAGATTTAATTACCCTGTTTACCTTTAAATGTATCTGTTATTTTATTTTTTTTCATATTTTCTGTATAATTATCAATCTTATCCTAACTTAAATCCTCTGAGTAACTAAACCATGTACATGAGTACATGTGTATACCTGAGTAACTAAACCATGTACATGAGTATATGAGGACAATATCTGCAAGCAAATCTACCTTCTTTTCTAAAGACTTCATGTACATGTTTATGTACATCTTGTCCTATACGCTCGTTTTACCAGCAGAGGGGGATATTGCCCAAGGAAGAGATGCCTGTATTATGATTTACCCGATTCAACAACAATTTGGACATGTGAAGCTTTGCAGAAATCTCTCCATGAATGGAAACATACCCCATTGATCACATAACCTGGGTCGGACCATAAAATGATGGGCAGAATGCGGTCATTTTTGGCGAAGTGAAGGTGTTCTGGCATCTCCTCCTTCTTGTACACATGGAGATGTGGATGTGCATTCTTCAAAGCTGTGTAGACCTTTTCGAGCTTGCCTGGCTTTGGCAGAAGCATTCCGGAGGGTCCAAAATCCACTATGTGAAATGAGAGATCCCGGAAGGAGAATCCCGGAATCTTAGACAGGGTGATCTCCTCCACTAGACCATTGCGGTACACATTTGACATGCCGTGGTCTGATGTGATAATAATGTTAAGACTGTCAGTTAGGCCACGTTGTTCGGCCATGTGTCGGATGTATCCCACAGTTCTGTCCACTTGCTTGACCATTTCCTTTATCTGTGGAGAGTCAGGTCCATATCTATGGCCTGTACCGTCTGGTTCGCCAAAGTACATGGACACAAAGTCAAGATCCTGGTCCCGGAACCAGCTCATCACCTTGTCTGTGTTTTCTCGCCATGCTGTCTCATTTTTGTAATTGTAAAGCAATGGCTCCACTTCCTGGATCGAGGCAACTTCACCATTATAACTTGCTGCTGTGCCAGGAAAGTGAATGGATCCTGCTTTTAGGCCCTAGGGGTTGAGAGAGAGAGAGAAAAGAGCACATATAAAGAAGACATATAAGGAATTGATACTGTAAGTGCTGTAGTTAAACTGACAAAGACATGACATGGATGTAAAAGGATGTACAGTATTTGCTGGACAATAAGTCACTCCGGAGC